CAAAATGGCTGAGCTCTAAGGAATCAGGACTTCCTACTGTCTGTTTGTGCTCGAACTCACTTCTCACCGAAGAAGAAATATGGGAGGAAGTTCTGCACGTACTCATCGAACTCATCCTCCGGCGGCAGCAGCACAGACTGGTTGTCGAGAAGCAGCAGCAGCAAGTAGAAGAGGAAAAGCAGGACAATGCCAGTGACCATCACCTTCGGCGGTACTGGTCGACAAGAAAGCTCAATGTACTACACTGGTCGAACGAGAAAACTGCACTGCTATGTTTGGCCGAGGCCATCACAAGCACGGTGGGGATGCTGTCTTCCTTGGCCACAACGCCTGCCTCAGCATTAAGGGGCTTCAGCAAGTCCGACAGGCCGGTGCGGATGCCGTAGCCCTCCGGCAACGGGTCACGCTCGCCGTAGGGCGCAGTCCGCTTGGCATTGCCCACTGGGTAGACGCCGTTTTCTGCAGGCATATCCGTTTCGTACTTCACTTCGGCAGCGGCAGCCACGGAGACCTCGCGCCTTGCGGCGGGCCCATTCACGAAGCACTGACACACGGCCCATGCGCTCAGGCAACCAACCACCAGAGCGGCGAAGGACCTCGGAAATGCGAAATCAACACCAAGACACCAAGCGCTCCCTGCTATGACAGCCTCCACACTCCAACACAAACCGAGCCAAAGATGGTCAAAGAGATGCAGCTCTGCTGAGTACCGCACGAGCTACGCGCCATCTGCAAGGCAATGGTGGAAAACTATTTCTGAAAATCGGCCTGCTTGTTGTGTGAACCCCCCTGCAGCCAACACATGCCGGCAACAGCACGGTAGAGCTTTCACACCACAGATCAGCAGGGATCAGGAATGGGGTGGACTCCGCGGATAAACCGGTGGGTTGAGGTTACGTCTTGGATGGCAACCTCGAAATCCATGTCATGTCTGCCACAGTTGACAAAATGCCCGTTTTCCGGGAATGCTATAAATAATTACATATCTTTTTCAATGCACTGACGGTTTTGAGCTGTTGGACAGTGCCCACGGACCTCATGCGAGCTAAACATGGAGTTGCTTGCCGTGCAAATTTGCATGTTGAGCGCGACAAACTCAACTTCGACAACTCCTTCATCCAACTCAGCAGGTTTGTTTGCCGTGGATTACACAGCAAACTGCAGCAATATGAGTTGGTGATTAGTACTCTGCTAAACGGTATGTTTCAACCAGCTCTTGATGTGACAAGGTGGGTGGGCGGCTGAGTCCCCTTGAGACTCTATGTGCTCCTAACCCAACCGTGTAGGAGTTAAGACCTCTGCACACCATGTTTGCCCACTACACGTCTTCTAGAACTCAAGGCTGAACAGCGTAAACAAAGTTCACAGCAACGCACCGACGACCCTTCGTTCAATCAAACGGATGCATGCTGCTGAAGCTCATAATAACCTTTCCTGAATCACCTACAGATCAACACAAAAACATGGAAATATTACCTTCAACAAGAAAGCTTGAATTAGATCGGTAGGCTACCAGAAGCACACCGAGGCACCTGCAATCAGTCGATTTACAATTTTACAAAGCATCCTAAATCGGGCTCTGTCACAATCCCGCAAAGCCCGAGCGCTGCAGCGCCAAACACGACTTACCGTCTCCAGGTATGGTCTTGGTGTGGGTGCTCGAGCAATCTATGAATTCTTTCGCGCGGCATACTGCTGTGTGATCTTGAAGCTACCAAAATGCAGAAACCGTTTCCCAATTTCATCAACCGCATGAATGCATGCCAAAGCATCGTTGGACGGCGTCCACATCCCCAAAACCCCTGACATGGCTAATCCGTAAACCCCGAAACCATGAACCCACACAGAAAATTGTTCAACAGCAGACCTACCAGACCTCACGTCATATACCTTCCCATACTTTACAACGCATTCTCACAAGCATCCTAAAAACTACCTTCAAAACCATCACAAGCATCCCACAATCACCTGACCACAATCCTTCCAACGGTTCACACCTCACAAACTCTAAACCATAGCAACTAGCATCACCCTCAACCATTCCACAACCAATATCGCAATATGAGACGCGGAGCCTTTAAAAAGACCCCAAACGCGTTTTAGCCACTCACATGGTGCATTTGTGCAACGCTCAGACACTCTACGCACTCGGAAACTATGTTGATCATCGCTTGCAAGGTGGAACCCTGCAACGCAACAACACGAATGAATCAAATGTCTCCGACATCTTCATGGACGGCGATGCCTAACTTGTTGGATGTCGTTGCTTCTCTTGTGTAACTGCCTTCATCGGAACAACAAATAGAACATTCTTGCCCATGTTTTGGAAACAGTCGCCTTTCTTCTGCCTTTTCTCCAATGCTTACCTTCAAAAATTGCAAGGCTTCGTGTTAAAATCTCGCACTTGTCTTTCAATATTAACACTGACATTACGAAATGTCGGAATTTCGGGCAGTTCGTCAAACTTAAACCCATGGAACTGCGAGAAACCTCCAGTCGCTAATACTCTTACCGAACTTCAGCTGTCTTTCTCTCTATTCTTAAGAACAACTATCCAAGGATTTTCGCATTATCGTGAAACGTGAAGCAGTCAGTATCCTAGTGTCGATTGAAAACCTGCAAAGTCGTCTGCACTGTAAGCGATAGGGTGTGAAGATCTGCAATATATTCAAATTAAATTCATGTCTTGGATGGAAAGCGCTCTCTCCGTTAAAAACCTAGAAAGCCTACAGACGCTTTCAGGGCTCCAAGCAAACTTAACC